CAGGGTGAAGGCGTGGCAGCCTGACTCCTGCCACAGACATGGGGCCACCTGGGCAGGGCCAGGGCCAACCCAGCAGCAGATGGTGCTTGCCTGGCTGCCCCAGGCACGGCATCCGGACCTGACTGGGCATCTCCAGGACAGAACAGGTGTGGTGCAGACTCGAGACAGGCTCCAGAGTGCAAGCGCTTTGCCATTCGTCTTCACGGTCCTAAGTCGTCACTGCAATTTTCTCTCCCAGGATAGATCCAGTCTCCTGTGACAACGTGGCCATCGTCCATTTCCAGCCTTCTCCCACTCTGTGGTAAAGCTTGAGCAATGATGTTTGCGGAAGCCCTGCCCAGAGTCTGATTGCACTCTTCAAACCTAGGCTGACCTCCCACAGAGCTTCTAAAGGGACGGACCACAGTCTGACCTGGAATATTTCAGCTTGCCAAAGAATATCAGTGAGAAATGGCACAGTCAGGCAACCACTTTCAATACAGCTTGACCAAGAGAATTGGTGTCAAAAGAATGAGAGGCTGAATGGACATTCTTAGAGGCTTAATCCTCTTGAGATAAAAGCTGAGAGCCCTTTTCACATGGAGCTTAAGGAGATCAGTTTTGCCAGGATGGGCACGTGGGTGGGAAAAGTACTGGTGGAGTGACTGATGGAAAGAGACGGTGTGCTGGCCTGAATCAACAAACGCTTAAGGGAACTCCTTTACACTCTCATTTTCATTCGTTTGACAAAATGAGTGCCCACTGTGTGCCAGATACTGTGACAGGGGCTCTGTTTTCTCTGACACTTAGTGTAAGCTGCATCATTTACTAAAATTAAAAGTCACCAAATTGTCAAGGTAAATTGAGTATAAATACCAATAAAATTACCAATGGGGGAAACTTCCCTTTGGGGGTATGAGTGGTTCAGAGGAAGCCTTTCTTAATTTAGACAAGCATGGCTTCAATTCTGGCCTAAGTGCTCCAGGGAGACACTGACCTGATGGCCCTGTACCTCTTGTGGTCTCAGGCTCACCTAGGGGTACAGGCTCACCCCACTTTACAAGGGCCACCCTGGGACAGTCTGCACTCAGAAATCCTCTCAAGTTGCCCACCTCTCCAGGCTTTGTTCTTCATCGCTCTCAAGAGCATCCTTTCAGGGCTCATCTTTTGTTAAGTTACAAATTGGTATTTAACTGATCCAGATGCCCTGAGGCAGGTGCCTCTCCTATAAAACAAGAGAGGCCGGCTGGTGGGATGGAAGGACTTTCGGGCTTAAATACTGAAGTTTGAATGTGATTCAAGACCTGACACTCTGGCTATATGGCCCTGAAAAGGGCTCTCAATCTTTCCGTTTGCTGGGCCATCTGGAGAACTGTCTGTGTTCCTGCAGGGTTGCTATGACGGTTAGAGATGTTGGAGGCTTAGGAGGGTGAGGACCCAGTCTCTGGCTGTCTCTGGCCTTCCCTGGATTCAGCTTAAGTAGAGGTGTGACATATATGCAGATTATATACTATTCTTATATACAGAAACCCACACACTCATAGATAATCCCCTTAACCTTTGATTTCGACCTGGATTCTTTAAAGTGAACAATTAGACTAATGAAAGGGGTGGACTGTGTTAGCAAACAGATCAAAGGTTCGCTCTTATTTGTGGTTCATGGATGGATTCTCCTCCAAGTCCTCAGCAGGTATGTGTGCTATGCAGGCAGCCGAGGGTCTGTGTTCTCTGGGTGCAGCTCTGCACCAGCTCCCAGGGCATCTGCCTGGCCCCCACCAAGAGGCACCCACCACACACCGCATGGGGACGTGGGGCCCTCACCAGCGAGGTTGCTGGGAGCCCTTGTAGCTGCTGTTTGGGCCTCTTCTTGGAAGGTTTGTTCATGAATATAATAAGAAGTTCCCAAAGTCTGTGAAGTTCCCTTCAAGATTACTTTCTGATGAGGTAATGTCGTTTGGATTCAAATTTTCATTTGCCTTCTGATGTGGAAACTTCTGGCAGAAATGGATTCAGTGGGAGGTGCTGTCCATGAGGATCTGTGGCAGCGCAAGGCTAGGTGGTCATGAGTAGCTACTGCATCTCCAGGAAAGTGAGCTGCTGTCAGGATTCCAGGTCAGAGGTGCCTGGGCGCCCCTCTGGGACTGTCTCAGGGTTACTCCCTCTGTGGCACTGTCCCAGTCCTCCCACTTCTACCCTCTGGGTTTCACGTGTGAGGTTCCTTTTAACTAGATGTACTGGGATGAAAATGCTATGGCCAGTGGGGCCGGTTCAGAAGACCAACATAAGATGCACACAAAGATCACTGATGTAGACCACAGCTGATGTGGGCTGCGTGTCCAGTACAAGCTTAGTGCCTTCACATTCCTCACCTCACCTCACACCCCATCTGGCTAGGCAGGAGGTCTGCTTTCCCAGGTCAGAGGCTCAGCGGGTGAAGAAACATTAGGAAGTAAAGAGCTGGCTGACAGCAATGGCTGATGCCAAACACCACCTTGTTTTCTTAACCCTCCGAGAGCAGCCCTGAAAATGTTCCTTTTCTTTGGAATATTCTAGAAGGACTGCAGCCTGTACAGATGAGGCAGCCTCAACAGAACTATTACAAAGGGGGAGGATTCTGTCTTAATTCATACACCTGCCTTACTCTGTTACTGCTCAGTTGATAAGCTATGTCTGATGCTCTGTGACCCTGTGGACTGCAGCATGCCAGGCCTCCCTGTCCCTCACTATCTCCCGGAGTTTGCCCAAGTTCATGTCCATTGTGCTGGCGATGTTATCTAACCATCTCAACCTCTGTCACCCTCTTCTCCTTTTGCCTCCAATCTTTCCAAGCACTAGGGTCTTTTTCAGTGAGTTGGCTCTTCGCATCAGGTGGCCAAAGTACTGCAGCTTCAGCTTCACCATCAGTCCTTCCAATGCCTTACTTTACCAAAGGCCAAATCTCCAAATAATCATGGCAAGACACAAACATTAATAAAGAGGTCAAGATCAAGAAATCAGAGATCAAAGCAGCTGTAACAATAGACACAACCACAGCAGAGCAGAGCTGAGGCGCCCAAGGCCTCCGGCAGGCATGTGCTGGGAGGTGCTGAGGAGGGGAGTGTGGTGGCTGGGCCAGAACCACAAGGTTCCCACTAAGAAGATGCTTTGGACAGCTTTTTCACATTTTCCAGGTTATTTTATGTCTACTTCTTTGGCCTATAATAGGCACAAAGCTTTTATTTTTTTAGCTGCCAACTATTGACAGATCAATGACAGATTGCTGAAATTATAATTTCTTTAAAAAAAAAAATCTTCATGGCAAATAACCTGTATTCCTTTGAGGCACATCACACCTCTTCTTGAGTGAAGAGAAGAAAGATGTGAAACACTGATACTTAACTATCTCTTCTCTTAGTAGGAAATTCTGAGATATACAGAGGACACACTGGAAGTTACGGGGGTGGGGTGAGTGACACGGGTGATGGGGTGAAAGGGCACAGACTTCTGGTTATAAAAGCAGTAAGTCCCGGGGATCGAATGCACAGCGAGGTGACTATAGCTAACACCACAGGACTGTGTACCTAAACACTGCTGAGAGAGGAAACTTAAAAGCTCTCAGTAAAAGAAAGAAAACCTGTAACCACATGTGGTGACAGACACTCGTGAGGCTGGCCCAACATCCTGCAATGTCTACGCACAGCGACTCATCACGCTCTGCACCTGACATGGGTATAATGTTATGTGCCAGCTCTCCCTCAGTTAAAAAGTCCTCTGGGAAAATCACACCAGTACTAATGTGCAGATACTGACTCACCAACAAGGGGTGTCTGGAAAGAATGCTGAGCAGACCAGGGATCGACAGGAGACTAGGGGACTTCCTGGTTCCCCAACAAGCCCTTGTGATTCTAACTGAAGCAAATTCAGAGGTCATGAGATATCCTGCACTCAAAGGCAGATGCAAAAGAAAAGCACCCAAATGACCTTTTGGGTGTCTGTAGTTTGGAAACATCTATACTTTTATTAATTCTACTAATAAACAAACAAACAGGGAATTCTATCAGAGTTTTCTCAGAATGAAGAATAAAAATCCAATAAGTATATCACTGGGAAAACATTTCAAGGAAAAGAAAACCTCTGTATTTTGGAGTGAAATATTATCTGATGCAGAACATATACAATAATTGCTCCACTATAAACTCCTTTTTCAAAATCGGAGTTCATTGCAGACACATGGGTTCAGAATTCATCATCAGGCCATGAATCCTACTGCCATAAAAGAAACCGTTCTCTTTGCTGATAAACAACAAAACTAACTCATATGCAGATGCATGCCTCAGTACCTCGGTGCAATGGTGTATTTACTTGTATAAATATTTAAAGTCAGACCTTTGAATTTATAATGAAGTAGCATACCACTTTACAAAATAAGGTACTAGTAAATTTAGATGTATGACAAATAGAATTCTGATCAGAATACTAATTGCTGCTGTTGATATTCTAAAACTAAAATAAGTAATGACATTCAGATTTCATCTAAACAAGCTGAATACATGTGCAGAAATCTTAACAGATCTTAACGAAACCTTACTGCTAAAATTTCTAATTGATCAGATGGGCTTTGTAACTGACACACAGGTAAGCTTCCTGTCTGGCACTTTTTTTTCTACTTTTTATAATAATGATACAGTCAATATAATAGGAAAGAATAGAGGAAATCAGACACATCTGTAGTTGGCCATTTAATGACTGGTGTCCCCATGGGCACTGGCCTTTACACACAGAGGCTGGTGCTGAAAGGCTCATGGGGGTGGGATGCTCGCAAGTATAAATGTGCAACAATTCTGAAGGACTCAGCAGACCTGAGTATTTTCCATCTCCATTTGTGTTAACCTAAGCTCACCACACTCTCAGGTTGGAGCCCCTGCTCCAGCACATGGTCACTGAATCTGCCTGCTCTTGGCGGAGTCCACAAACACTAACCTAAACTGTTTTGGTTAGAGGAGACAGTAGAATCCCAGGTCCTCAGGCAGCCGTGAACTTACCTGTGATGGGCATCCTCGCTGCCACGCTGTCTTCGGTGCTCTCCTCGGTGCTCTCATCTTCTAAAAATGGAACAAGTGATAATAACAATGTATTTCAAGGTTATACTGATGGAACTGGCCTTTGGTTTTTTAGTTGCCATTCCTTTTAACTGCCCTACTTCCCACCTTTTCTTTTTGGTTAGTTTATTTCTTATCTGAAATACACTGTGCCTAGAAGAAAGCCTATTCAAAAGCTAAGGTGTCTTTACACTGCTTTCATGCAAAATAATTTAGCCTGACATCTATCAGATTTGAGTGGGGCTTAACATACGCGGGCCTCAGGTCCAGCACATGTCATCGACTTCTGACCACATCCCGGGCAGCTGACAGTGGTTTCCTGGCACATCTTACCAGTAACACTAAAATAATCACCATTTCTAGAGACTAAAAACTGGTAATAAAATTTGGGGGGGGTCATAAATTCATTGATTCCTAATCATTTGTTTAGACTTTTATAAGGCTGTATTCTAATTTAAAAGAATATTTATTAATTATGAGTAAATTCTATTAAGTGATATAAAAAAACTTCACAGTACTTCATGGAATTCATTTTAATGGAATCATCTCCACCTTTGCAGGATGATCAAAAAAGTACCTAATGTCAACTGTTAATTCTGTTGATATTTCATAGCTTTATAAAAACTACTTTTATTGCAAGTTCAGCAGAACTGAAGACCTACAATTAGGTTTCCCATTCTTCTCAGACTTCAGGTGTTTTCCTGAAGTGGAAGATGGTATAAAACGAGTAATGTATCATGCATACTGAATCACAGGCATTGCTCAGCAGCTTTATTTTATGGGCACACTTTGAGAAAGAGGGTGGCACGCTGATTCTGAGTGCAGTTTTGCTGTGAATGAACCCTTAACAACAGCTACCTTGTTCCCTTGTAGGAACACCTTTGGGCCACAGAGTGGGTTTTCCATTCCTCATTCCACTTTCATCACTCAGAGTAGATGGCAAACTGCAAGATGACTTGCTGCTGTCAACAGCCGACCTGTTGTCATGCTCTTCTGCGAGATTTTTTTTCAATAACGCGGTTGCCTATAGTGTTTAAAAGAAAGTACAAAAAATTAACAAACTGTGGTCACACTCCCCTTGGTCTCAGAGATCAGCTTTCAAATACTATTTTACGTCAAGCTTTACTTGAGATTTGTCTCCTGACATTTAACCTACATGAAAATGTCTTCAAGATAAAGTAACACTAGGCTATTTTCCAGCATAATTGAATTTTTCACGATAATTTACACTCACAAGGAGATGTTTTCTGGGGACTGAATCTTCTGTAATATAGTATCTTTCTACTTGGGAAGGATGTGTGTGAGCAGTGACTAACTCTGTTAACCCAGGTGGTACATCCCAGATCCATTCTCTCATGGCCTGAATTCTGTCTTTCAGGCACATGAGACAGAGTTGGTTTGGATTGAGGAGATTTGGAAAAATGTGACCTTACGGTATCCTCATACTTCAAGAAATGACCCCCAAACTTTCCCCATAAGGAGGATTGTGGAAGGACTTGGGGGCTGAGTAGGGTACACTGAAGCAAAGAGAGACCCGACCTCACTGGAAACTGTAACCTTCAGTCAAGGATATGGATGCTCTGCACTTTGCCACCAAGTCTGCCAGGGAGCTCAGGACACTCAGCGGCCACACAGCCTGTCTGCTTCCTTCAGGCATGGAACGGTCTTACCCGTGTCACCCCAAGTGTTTGGGGCAGGGAGGTGGGCGGAGATCTGACCACAGCCAATGTGAGACGTAGAGAAAATGTGGTAAAAATAGGATAGGTTAATATCCAGATACTTCACGTCTGGGTCAGCATTCCTCCCTCAAGAATTAAAAATACACTGGTGACCAGAGCTGAACAACCAACACAATGTCACTCACTGTCTGGCTGCCAAGGCACATGTCTCTCTCTCCCCCATTTGGAGTGGAAGACTGCTTAGCGGTGCTGACCTCTCCCTGGGACATGATGGCAGCAGTAAACCCACTGTGTGGGGAATGTATCTGAGACCCTGCAAGTGAATGTGAAGAGGGAGCTGGGCACAGCCTCTCTGGCCATCTTCTATCCAAGCGCGAAGTGGCAACAGTGTTAGTGTCGAGTGAACAAAGGGGAAGATTCTACTCTTTGCTTGTCATCAACGTGAAAGGACGTGAAGCTTTGTCAGGGAGAATCACTAAGGCAGAACCTCAACAACTGAGCCTGGTGAGTTTGGCTAAGGCCACTGTTATTGGCCTAGACATCCCAGCGAGGCGCTTGCCTTTGGCCTTCCCCTCATTTCGAGATCTCCACCAATCCTGATCTAATCGAATCTGTTCCTGTAGAGAGCAGGAGCCTCCTCTGTGCACCCAATAATCCTGGCTATATGGAAAGCATTTCAGAAGATGAACGAAAAGAATTGGCCTAGTCTCTGTAGTTAAAGCTGTAATTTCCTTTTCCTGATATTTAAAATAATCCAAACATTCTAACAGGGCCTCAAATATGTATTTCTTCTTTGTATTATCTCATGCAATAGCTGTAACTGATAATTTCTTGGCGTGACTTCACAGTAGCCACTGTCTGAACCCATGGTTTAAGAATAAAGTTGTTAAAAGCCTGTTGAGGGTTTCTACACTTTCTACTGTGCAATGTGTAGACAGAGGAGACTATCCTGGATGGTCAGTGACTCAGACAACTTCTCACTAGTCCCTGGTGATGACACACGAGCTATCTGTTTTGCACATCCCTTTCCTACAAGAACTTCTTTTGCTTCAACTGGGTTCCACCTGGGCTTCAAAAGAACACAGACTAAAGTATTATAGCTACAAACATCTTTCTAACAACCCCTTGTAAGCTTGGTGAGAGGACCACCAATACCATCATCTCTACCTGGAGCCCTTTTTTTAAAATTTTTACCATGGCAAGTGTTGGGCACTCTACAGGTTTCATTTATTTTGTATATTTTATCCCATTTATCTTTACTACTTAATACTCATATTTCTGGGATTTCTCTTAGCTTTTGATAGGAACATTTAAAGATAATTCTAGAGGTAAGTCATCAGAGATAAGTCCTTTATATCTATACGGGTTTTGATGGATGGTCAAATCACAGCATGAGAATGGTTGATCTGACTGCTGGACCATGAGGCCAACAGAGAGGGCAGCAGATCTGCCCAGTGGGTCATCTGCAGAGGCATTCACAAGATAAGTCCCTCACAGGGAGGGAATCATGACAAGCTGGGACAGAAACAAGTCAGCCTCAGCCAAGGATGGGTCAGAAGGTCCATTCAAAGGATCAGTCAAAAACAACTTATGCAGAATCAGGAAGAACACCTGTGATACCTACTCAAGATGTACTGTTTGCAGATCTTTGAAAGGGTGCATTTCTAAGAAGGCCCCAGACAGAAGGAGTTTGCAGAGTGACACTGACAACATGAACCCATACCCGCAGAGGAACCAAAGCCCAGAGGAGAGTAAACTAACTGCCATGCATGTGCCACCTGGGACTGAAGGGCTCTGCAAAGTGCGACCTTCTATCTGAAAAATTCACCACAGATGGACCTTCTGATGGCGCTTATGAATGGCCCATGCGTGGGTTCCATCTGATCCATTAGGCAATAAAGGCTTTCTCTCCTCTCATACATTTGGAGCCAGTCTGGTACAGTGAGGAGGGGTGGGGTGGGGGGCTGGATACTGTCTCATGGTTTTCAGCAGTCTGCAGCTTAAGTCAATACCAATGAACTAGCTCCTCACTGTTCTAACTTTCCCAGGAGCCAGGAGAAAGCACTTAAGAAATTCAATGCCAAGGTATACACTATCTGCAGGATGAGTGAGGAAGACATCTCCATATTTCAGAACTCAAAGAACATAAATCATCCTATGAATTACATTCAGCAGGACACCTAGAGTTAACTGCCTCAATTCCTCTAGGATTTTCTCAAAGTTCAGTTTAAATGCAGATCTTTCTAAGTCTAGAACCCTAAGAGTCACCTAGGGTAACTCTAAATTTATATCCCCAAACTTAGCAATTGTGATATTCAAATGCAGAAATCAATAAATGAAGATATTAATGGAAGAGGCTTGTATCCAAACACCATTAAGAAAAGTGAAAGATGAAAATCAAACTGCTCAAACTATTATAGAAACAGCAAAAATTTATACAGGGAGTTCTCAAAAGTCAGTAAGAAAAAATATGACTAACCTGATAGAAAAATGAACAAAGAACGTGAACCGGCAAATTAAAAAAGAAGAAATACAAAAGGCTAACAAACAGAGAGGGGAAAGAATCTGATCTCAGTTGTAATATAAAGGTCAGTTCAGTTCAGTCGCTCAGTTGTGTCCAACTCTTTGTGACCCCATGGACTGCAGCACTCCAGGCCTCCCTGTCCATCACCAACTCCCAGAGTTTACTCAAACTCATGTCCATTGAATCAGTGATGCCATCCAACCATGTCATCCTCTGTCATCCTCATCTCCTCCCACCATCAATCTTTCCCAGCATCAGGGTCTCTTCTAAGGAGTCAGTTCTTTCCATCAGGTAAGCAAAGTATTGGAGTTTCAGCTTCAGTCCTTCCAATGAATATTCAGGATTGATTTCCTTTAGGATGGACTGGGTGGATCTCCTTGCTGTCCAAGGGACTCTCAAGAGTCTTCTCCAATACCACAGTTCAAAAGCATCAACTTTTCAGTGCTCAACTTTCCTAATAGTCCAATTCTCACACCCATACATGACTACTGGAAAAACCATAGCTTTGACTAGATGGACCTGTGTTGGCAAAGTAATGTCTCTGCTTTTTTTTTCTTTGTCTCTGCTTTTTAATATGCTGTCTAGGTTGGTCATAACTTTTCTTCCAAGGAGCAAGCACCTTTTAATTTCATGGCTGCAGTCACCATCTGCAGTGATTTTGGAGCCCCCCAAAATAAAGTTTGTCACTGTTTCCACTGTCTCCCCATCTATTTGCTATGAAGTGACAGGACCAGATGTCATGATCTTAATTTTCTGAATGTTGAGTTTTAAGTCAACTTTTCCACTCTCCTCTTTCACTTTCATCAATAAATTGCTGAAAGATCACTAAAGAGTGATGAGCTCTTTAGTTTCTCCTTGCTTTCTGCCATATTGGTGGTGTCATCTGCATATCTGAGGTTACTGATATTTCTCCCAGCAATCTTGACACCAGCTTGTGCTTTATCCAGTCCAGCATTTCTCATGATGTACTCTGCATATAAGTTGAATAAGCAGGGTGACAATATACAGCCTTGATGGACTCCTTTCCCAGTATGGAACCAGTCTGTTGTTCCATGTCCAGTTCTAATTGTTGCTTCTTGACCTGCACACAGGTTTCTCAGGAGGCAGGTAAGGTGATCTGATATTCCCATCTCTTAAAGAATTTTCCACAGTTTGTTGTGATCCACACAAAGGCTTTGGCATAGTCAATAAACCAGAAGTAGATGTTCTTCTGGAACTCTCTTGCTTTTTCAATGATCTGATGGATGTTAGCAATTGGATCTCTAATTCCTCTGCCTTTTCTAAATCCAGCTTGAACAACTGGAAGTTCACGGTTTAAGTACTGTTGAAGTCTGGCTTGGAAGATTTTGAGCATTACTTTGCAAGCGTGTGAGATGAGTGCAATTGTATAGTAGCTTGAGCATTCTTTGGCATTGCCTTTCTTTGGGATTGGAATGAAAACTGACCTTTTCCAGTCCTGTGGCCACTGAGTTTTCCAAATTTGCTGGCATACTGAGTGCAGCACTTTCACAGCATCATCTTTTAGGATTTGAAACAGCTCAAGGAATTCCATCACCTCCACCAGCTTTGTTCATAGTGATGCTTCCTAAGGCGCACTTGACTTTGCATTCCAGGATGTCTGGCTCTAGGTGAATGATCACACCATCACTGTTATCTGGGTCATGAAGATCTTTTTTGTATAGTTCTTCTATGTATTCTTGCCACCTCTTCTTCTTTTTTTTTTTTTTGCCACCTCTTCTTAATATCTTCTGCTTCTGTTAGGTCCATACCATTTCTGTCCTTTATTGTGCCCATCTTTGCATGAAATGTTTCCTTAGTATCTCTGATTTTCTTAAAGAGATCGCTAGTCTTTCCCATTCTACTGTTCTCCTCTATTTCTTTGCACTGATCACTGAGGAAGGCTTTCTTATCTTTCCTTGCTATTGTTTGGAACTCTGCATTCAAATGGGTATATCTTTCCTTTTCTCCTTTGCTTTTCGCTTCTCTTCTTTTCTCAGCTATTGGTAAGGCCTCCTCAGACAACCATTTTGCCTTTTTGCATTTCTTTTTCTTGGGGATGGTCTTGATCACTGCCTCCTGTACTATGTCACGAACCTCTGTCCATGGTTCTTTAGGCACTCTATCAGATCTAATCCCTTGAATCTATTTGTCACTGTATTTGTGTAAAATGAACACACAAAAAAATTGGCTATCATCTACACTTCTAAATTTGGTGTTCAAAAAAGGTTGATGGTATCTGGTTTCATAAACAGTGCAGAAAACTGATATTTTCATCCATTCCTGGTAAGCTATGACCCTGCCAGGGTGAGTTCTAGTAGTGCAGAGCAGAAGGCTGGGAGATACACAGACCCTCTGACCTAAGAGATCTACATCTAGGAACTCATTCTCAGGAATCAGCATGAGAATCTGTAAAAAACTGAGCTCTCAGATATCCTTTGAAACTTTTTCACTAGAGAAGAAATTAAAAACAACTTAAAATGTTCAACACCAGGATCCTGGTTAAAGAGACAGTGGAAGGGCCACACAGTGGTTTCTGTGCAACCGTCAGAAAGGATGGAGAGCATGTGATGGTGTGAAAGGAGGGTTCCCCTGTGACACGGTGTGGGGGGTAGGTCATGGAGGTCATCCACACATACAGCACAACCCATGTTTGTCAATATATTAAATATTAAAGACAACACATCTCAGTGTCAACAAAGTTCTATACAGAAATCTGGGTAATAGGCAGTTGTCTTGTCTTCTTTCTGTTTACCTTAATATTTCAAGTTTGTTTTTTTCCTGCTATGTTTTTTAGAAAAAGAAAACATATGCTAACTCTACAAGAATACGGTTTCTGCAATGGGTGGTACAGAGAGAAAATGAATGTGAAAATACTTAATAAAATAAAAAACCTCCATATGGAATTCAGTGTTATTAATGCAGATACAGAAGAGCAAGAGAATGAAAAACCAGGGAAGTTGACAGCGTGGCTGTTCCCCTCATACACAGATTTAACTGACCCTTCCTCAAGAACCTGGCACACCAGCAGTAATTGCTCAGTGTCCAAAGAGAAGTACAAGTGTCATCACTGAAGCTGTATGTGAGTTACAGGACAGGAAGGAGACAGTATCAAAGTAGCAATGAGAAGAACAGGGAAGTATTCACACGAGCCAGTGAACGAGTAGTCAAGAGAGGAGGATGGAAGCCCAGGCCACCATCTGGGGAGGGGGCAGGGACTCTCGAGGCTGCTTCCACCTGCTCTGTGAGTGACACTGGTGGCTAGGCTGCTTTGCCTGTGGATGCTTCCCTGGGTGGAAGCAGGCACCACTTAGGAGAAAAGCAGTATTAAGGTACTTGGTATTTTAATGAAGCACCCAACTCATTTTTTTTTCCCACATAGAGTAATTACAGATTTTCCTGATTTAAAAGCATGCAGCTCAATTATGTAATTGCCTAATAGGTTATGCGGGTGCTGTGGATCTTATCTGGTCTCGGGAGGACATAATCCGAGTTTCGGCGGCTTTAATGATGTATTTACTCAAGAGACGGGATTGACTCCAGCTGACGGCAAGGGACCCACAGGTAAACATCATTTACATGTGGCTGTTTAATTAGCCATTTACCCAAGAGATCAAAGTAAATATTTCTCAGCTTCATTAGACTCTTAATCAAGTGATTTCTACTAGAGCTTTCTTAAATTTTGAAAATCTCTTACTTTTAAAATTTTTATCTATAGCGAAATATTTAACCGTATTATTTACTGAATATATATACTGTGAATACAGGACAACAACTCAGAGACACTTGACTGTGCTGATTTGTGACTCTAATGGTCCTAGAGCTCAGAAAAGCATCCTATCCTCACATCTGCCAGGCTTCTCCTGCCCACATCACTCGGGTGGGTGAGTCTTTAGGGCTGTGCTTTTTTTCAGTCACAACCTATTCAGAAACTGCCTGCTTGCTTCTATTTATAAGGACGGATTTTGTCATTTATTTATTGGTAATTTTTATGGTTGTCACTAGATGGTGATTTAAAAAGGAACAAAATACCTACTAGGGGAGGTAGAAGGTTATTTGACTAATGAGCCATCAATTGGGCACCCCTCTTCCTATTAATTATGGAGTATATTATTTGAAAAATTATGAGTGAACTGGTTGTCTGGAACTAGGAATATGTTTTCTAACATAAACAACATCTTAAAAAAATAGACAAGGAGATGGTAAATGGCAATACTGTAGACCAATGCTTATTTTGCCCTTGATGTGACTGAGATATAGTGTATCTGCAATGAGTATGAATGGAAAACAATGTTGTGACAAAACAGAACTAAATACAATGGGTAATAAAACCTGAAAAAAATCCTTATTAAGATCTACATTTATCAATAGATACGAAAAAGAATCTAAAAAGCAATGGTTCTGTTCTTCCTAAAGAACACAGTTCTTTCTTCAAGAACATTTACACGGATGATGACATACTGCAAACAAGACAAAACTGAGGGTTAGTTACTGAGTCACATGCAGTGCAGAAAAATGAAAATGTGTTCAGGAAGGATGTGCACAAGGTTACCTTTGAAAAGGGCAGGATCTGTGAGGGGCGCCCAGGGGCTATATCTCTACCTGCAATAATCCACTCCAGAAGGAGAAGAATGGGGAGAAAGGAGGCGAGGAGGGAGAGAAGAGCAAGGGTAGGAGCAGAGGCAGGAGCAGAGGAGAGGGGAGGGCGAAGGGGTGGGGAACTGCAGAGTGCAGGGGTAACATACATGCAGACGGGTCGGTGGCTTCACTGTGCTGCTCCATGTGTGTATGTGTGAAACGCTTTTTAAAAAGTCCTTCTACTCTTTTCTAATTAGAGAGCTGGGGGAGGGGGTGTTGGGCAGGGCTGAAGGTGCTCTGAAAGGCTGGAGGGCAACACAGGCTCTGGACAGCGCTGCAAAACAGGCTGTAGCTTTGGGACAGAGGGGCAAGGACTGCTTCCAGAGGGGGCTCCTGTGGAATCCTGAACTTTGTGCATAATCAAAATAAAGAAGTATTAAAGCCAGAAAACTCTGTTATATAGCGAGTTAAGCATGTGTAAGGATGAAAACACATACTTGGAAGGAATTCCCTAGTGGCGCAAAGGTTGGGACTCCATGCTCTCACTGCCTCGGCCTAAGTTGGATCCCTGGTTAGGGATAAGATCCACTAGCCAGATGGGCCACTCTGGACCTGGTTTCTGCCCTCCAGCCCCACCCACCGCACCTCCCTGGGAACTGGCTCCATGACTCTGGTTCAGCATGACCCGCTCTACCTGCGCCAAGTGCTCAGTCCACTCCCGACTGTCCTGCTGAACCACGGCTGGGTGCATCCTTGGCTGTCCCCTTCCCAGTCCATGGGGACTAAATTCCCCGAGGCCCCTCCTGCAGCCCGGCTCAAGGGGCTCTGTAGCTTCCCAAACTCTGCTGAACCCGTCAACACCTCTCCTGAGCTGGGCCAGACCCTGTACAACTTCTGGTCCCTGTCCCCAGGTACAGTCTGCTCCTCAGCCACGACAATGGCTCCGTTTCCCTGTTCTTTGGCCCTACGTCTGTCACCCACCCCCTCGGGGCCTGCTGAAATCCTGCCGGGCTTTTCAGGGTCACCTTCGCATGCCCCTCAGCTCTCTCAGTTATCAGGTCTGCCCTCCCTGCTTCTCCAGATGCCTGGCTCCCCTTCTGGAGGGTCTAAGCCCTCTGCCATGTTCCTACTGCGGACACCCACTCTGCCATTTCCCGGAGGAGGGGCCGCATGGGATTTCTCTCTCTCCCCCCCGTGGATCTGGGCTGCTGCCTAATCCACAGAAGTGGACGAATACATATTTGCTGAGTTGACAAAAATGACCACCACACAGTATGTTTAAAGGATGGTGTAGAGAAAGAAAACCAGAGTTCTCCAAGAGGCTCCTAAGTTCCCTGGACAAATGTTGCGGTAGGTATGTATAATTAGGTTACCTCCAGGCCCTGGGTTAACTAACCTTACGTAAGAAAGGACCTGAAATGCCTACACAAAACACTATGCAAAAGGTCTGAGATCAAAGTTCATCCAACCAACCACAAAAGCTCACTTACAATTTACATTTTTCAAATATATTAATCATTGTTAAGGATGTTAACTGTTTCCTCAAATGACTAACCTGTACAATTTGAAACTTAAAGAAAACTTAAGGTACTAACCTCTGTCCTCTGGTCCAGTCTACTGACCAGGAAAACTTCAGACAGCTTCCCTACTTTCTCTTCTTGGACAGAAGTACCATGTCCTTTCAGGGCGACAATATGCTGACCTGATCGTGTCCTTAAAAAGCCTGAGGCTGGTGCTTGTTCAAACCTACGAAACACAATTAGGAGTCCCATTAGACATGTGCAATGCTGGGTGACTTATGAGTCTCCTGTATTGTTAAAGGTCCCCACAATCACGCTAGTAGAAGACAGTTTACACAGAAAATTCTGGAACCTAATATAATCTGGGATAAGGGGATTTCCAGAATTCAGGTTTCTTTTTGCAGGGTAACTTTCATTTTATTTTAGTTATGATATCATTGATAGATGAGCATTCTCAACTCTGTCTGCACCCTAGGACCACCTGGGGGGTTTTGCATCACCTAGGTACTTCATGCCATTGCTTCAGAGTTCAGGAAAACTAGTTAGTCTGTCGGGGGGCGGGGAACCCAGCAAATTGAGACTTTCTTTAAGACTCTCAGAGCAATTTTGACGTGTGGTCACTGTTTCTAACTAGTGTAGAGGCGGTCAGGCTCCTCTTAAACGTAAAGAGAAACAAGAGTTCACATCTCCACCTCAATTAGTTTATTCTTATCGTACTCTTGCACTGGTTTCATTTTTTTTTTTAATGAGTTACTATTAGGAAAAAGTCCAACGTAAGCCTATATTGCTGCCTATAATATTGTATTTAGATACTAAACGGAAGAAAAATGTGCTATATTTTAAGCCGGGGGCAGGAAACGCATCAGATGAGCCTGGAGCACCTTGTCCCAGGAAGAGAGGAAGCTCTTGGACCCTGAGTTGTGTGAACAGGCCTCAGCAGTTGTGCCAAAGAGGCACCCACTGGCCAAAGATGAGACAGTATGAGAGCCAAAAGAACAGTGACTAACATGGACTAGGACTCGGGGGATGTATAAAAATACATGAGTTCGTTTAAAAGATAAATAATAAAAAACCTTTGGATTCAGCCTTGAAAAGGAAGGAAATCTTTGTCACAGATTACAACATAGATGTACTACAACATGACATTCTACTCTGTTATATAAGCCAGTCACAAAAAAGCAGTATGATTCCACTAACATAAGATGCTGAGAATAGTCAAATTCAGAGGCAGAGTAGAGTAGTGGCTGCCAGGGGCTAGGGGAAGGAGGATTGGGGACTTGTTTAATGGGGACAGAGCTCCAGTTCTGTAAGACGACAAAGCCCTAGAGATCTGATGCACAAAAATGTGAATGTACTTAATGCTACTGAACTGTACACTTCAAAGGGTTAAGGTGGTAAATTTTATGTTTATGTGTGTTTTTACCATCAAAGTATCAACAAACCAACCTTTGGATGCTGCTAGAGAAACAATTTGTTATTCTGGAAACTGGTTAAGGAAAGGGATGGAGTCAAGCATTTGTCCTGCCTTTGTGGTCAACAACAAAAAACACAAACAAAAAAAAAAATTTCAGAGTTACCAAGTAGTTGATGGGGAAAGTTTTTTCAATTAATAGATGCAAACAAAGGGCTGCATTAGAAAAGTCACTGTTTTCTAAGTCCAAATTAATGAGTGCACCTAGGAAATGATCATAATGTTGAGGAAATTGCATAATGGACGCTTTGAATCAGAGGCACCCGTCTGCCAGTGCTCAAGTCCTTAGCCCAGTCCTGGAAGCACACACGAAGGGACGAGCAGTCACGTTCCACCTGAGGAGGTAAAGTAAGAAGGACCAGCAGGACTGCCTGTGATGGCATTCTGCCAGAATAACCTGCCTGGAATATAATTCTGGATCCCGATCCAACCAGCAGTTTACAGGGAACATAATTTGGATCCTGATTCAAAGATAGCAAATGTAGACAGACTGCTTTTGAGAAAACCAAAGCAAAGTGACAAGGACTAGGTAACAAAGAATTTTCTTAAGTGGTCAAGTATTAAATACTTGTACGTTAGAGATGTTATTTGTGAGAGGAAAAAATGTTGTCTGTTTTAAACTACTGAAGAAAAAGTGTGGGTGAGGGAAAGAGATAAAACAAGACTAGCAAAAATGTTGACAACTGTGGGTCTGGGAGAGGGTATGTGGGACTTTATTATATTCACGCCGACTTTTCTAGATGTTTAAACATGTCAAAGTGAAAGTGAAGTCGCTCAGTCGTGTCTGACCCTTTGTGAACCCATGGACTGCAGCCTACCAGGCATCTCCGCCCATGGGATTTTTCAGGCAAGAGTACCGGAGTGGGTTGCCATTTCCTTCTCCAAAACATGTCAAAGTATATACTAAAAATCTGTGTACTAATATGTGCAACTTACTTGGAAATGCATAAAAATAACAGATTGGAATTGATGGATGGATGGATGGGAAATAGATTTGGGAGTGTAATAAAATGTCAATGGTAGAAGCTGGGTGGTAGGTATGTCAGCATTACAGTTTTTCTCATTTTTCTGTATGTTTGGAAATTTTCATAGTAAAATGGGAAAGAAGTCTAGGTGTAATTCAGAACCTTTAAAAAGAAATCTTAATTGTTATAAGATTTGGCCTGACCTAACCCCTGCTTTTCCCCAAGACTTGAATAAAGTGGGATGCATCACTGGAATCCTTGAACTTATTGAAAAATTTCCCCAGATGATTTCAAGGTTCCTGGCTGGTCTGGAAGGAAGCCCCTTGAGCAACTTGTTTCTCCTGGTAACATCTAGACCTCACCGACATTATAAAGCTTCCAAGTCCTCTGTTCTGTTCTATGTCAATGAGTTACCCTTTGTATCTCCATCTGGGTTTATAGCAATTTCCTTTCTAGGAAAACGCACACATGGGCCATTGTCAAATTCTAGTCCAGTCAGCAGGTATATTTCTCATAATGAGTAAAATCAATTGTTTCTATCTAGAAAGCATGTTTAGTTAGGTTGAACTCAACTTGAAAACAAATTTAATGAGGATGAATTAATTGGGATGCACTGACTTATCAGACACCAGCCCTTCTGGTGACTGAGACACATGATTTCTGCAGAAGCAAAGCCAAGGCAAGACTCTGGTTACTAGCAACTCTTCCAACTGTAACCATTCTTTGTGTCCTGACACGAAAGCACTAGCTGAGGTTTCCTGTAATTATCACACTTGCTTCATAAAAGGAGAAAACCCACAGGCTCAAAAAGCAAATGAACTTCTGGAGGAGAGACAGCATCAGAATCTGTGACTTCTGAGCGGCTGAGCCAACACCTGGCAACCAGGAGGGCTTGGGCCATGGCAGGCCCTTTGTGGAGTCCTGCCCCTGGTTCTATACAAACACACAGAATCAGAACATCTATGGAGCAGTTCAGAGGACTTAAAGGAGTTGTTTCCTCTTTTGTCCACTTCACTTTTCTAAGTTTCTAGTATCAACGTCACACAGAAAAAAAAAACAAAAAACAAAGCATGATGTCAGTTCAATTATATACTCCTCTAATTAAAAACAGATTTTAAAGTCTATAATTAATTTCATACACTTATAATGGTTTCCAATGAGAAAACTGCAATTTAAGCAAAGGTACCAGCATTTCCTAACTACAACTGATTTATAACAGATGGGTAATCTGACCAAAGTTTTAAATGCAGACAAAATAATAAATATCTTGAATTTTATGCTGAACATAAACAGAATAAAACAGATTTCTACATACTATACTCCACATACTATAAACCTGACAATTTTTCAGCATTAGTTTGAGAGCACAATGGGGCAAATGTATCTGAAAGGAGCCACGGATAGAGACAATTGCACCTGGAAAAGATACAAAATCATGGGTGGTCTCATTACGGTTTCCACAGAAGACAATGCGATTAAATAATCACTTTTATGTTAAAATATATTTCCCAGGAGGCAATAAAGAACAATTTTTTAAAAATCGACTGCCTCAAATGACATGCATCATATTTTAAAAACTCAGAATTGTCTAAAATAAAAACTTACTAGTAACAGTAAGCCTTTCACATGAAGGTCTTACAACATTTAATCCCAGGTATGACAAAAATCAATAAAAACAATAATAATGATGATAGGAATGATTTTGTCCTTTTTTCTTTGAAGAGCCTTCATTTTGTGATAGAGAATTCAGAAATCTATCTTTCCAATCTATGCTGTGGACCAGGTGTCCCATTTCCTGGATGGAAATGAAGCAGAGAGACGGATGTTACTTGCTGAGGTTTGCTCAGGGGCACAAGCAGGGCCATGGCCACACAAAACATGGCTCTGCTCACAGGCTTTCAGGAGTCCATACGCTGTTAGACTTATGTCAGCCGTTCTGCCCGGCTGACATCAATGTCACTAACAACTGAGAAACAGAAGTAGACGATTCTCTTCAAAGCTGTGTTTCTGGAATGACCAGCTGACAGCTTCGGTCTAAGGGCTGTCCCTGGCAGACAGGAATACCCCATTTAGGGAAATACCTAGCAATACCTTGCCTGTAATGCAGGAGACCTGGGTTCAATCCCTGGGTTGGAAAGATCCCCTGGAGGAGAGCACGGCAACACACTCCAGTATTCCTGCCTGGAGAATCCCATGGACAGAGGAGTCTGGTGGGCTACAGTCCACGGGGTGGCAAAGAGCTGGACACGACTGAGCGACTGAGAACAGCACAGCAGTAGGAATACCTCCTGGGCGCTGAGGGCACAGGAGGTGGTGAACACGCAGAGGGCAGGGGCGCGTGATGCCAGGACTAAGACCTGTTAGGAAGGACTGGCAGCTAAGACCTGACTGCCTGTCTCTGAAAGGTCAGGTAGACACTTGGGGCTTTTTCTGAGGCTAGAGAGGGAACCAGTGGCAATCAGTGTGCAAGGAACAGCATCCTCAGTCATGACACGGGGTAATTCTGATTATAATAGACCACAACAGTGACTTCAGGAACCATTCCTGACTTCTTTATCTGGCTTTAAAAAATGACTGTGGCAGAGACACAGTTCTGAAGGCTCCAGATATTAATTTTAAAATTTGTGTTGGTCATAAAGAAAGATCATTTCTTCTTGGAAGGCTGATTTATACATAACTGTAGATCAATAGTCATGGAAAATGCAACCTCTCATAATGGGAACGGACGCTCTATTTATGCATGTTGAGAAACTGTAACAAACGCAGGCCGAGTCGATGGAGATGGCATAT